TTCAGGGGTCCTGGAGAGGAGGGTCCATCGGATAGTCGAACCTCGGATTCAGGAAGAGCAGTGTGGTTTTCGTCCTGGTCGTGGAACAATGGACCAGCTCTACACCCTCAGCAGGGTCCTGGAGGGGGCATGGGAGTTCGCACAACCAGTCTACATGTGTTTTGTGGACTTGGAGAAGGCGTTCGACCGTGTCCCTAGGGGGGCCTGTGGGGAGTTCTCCGGGAGTATGGGGTACCGGGCCCTTTGATACGGGCTGTATGACCGGTGTCAGAGTCTGGTCCGCATTGCCGGCAGTAAGTCAGACTCGTTTCCGGTGAGAGTTGGACTCCGCCAAGGCTGCCCTTTGTCACCGATTCTGTTCATTACTTTCATGGACAGAATCTCTAGACCAGCCGAGGTGTTGAGGGGATCCGTTTGGTGGCCTTAGGATCGCATCTCTGCTTTTTGCGGATGATGTGGTCCTATTGGCTTCATCGGGGTGTGATCTTTCTTGGATGTACAGTTTCCAAGCTTCCACCTCACAGAGCAACCCTCCTCTGATGGAGCTGAGTGGCTCCCCCACTCAACTCTGTCAGACTAGCCAGCAGCAATTAGCAAACACCCAGTGGAACTGTGCTTCTGATGAGCTTATTATACAAGTTACAGTTAGTTATCAGTGCAATGCTGGTAAAAACATTGTGAAAAGGTTAATAGAGGAGCATTGTTGAGATGTCTGTGTAACTGATGTCGCCCTGTCTGGTCATTTTGCTGTTATGTTTGAATGTACAGACTCCATTGACTCTCGTAGCAAAACAGTTACTATCACATAGCATTCTTCTACAGAGAACACTGCAGAAACGTTTAATCAATTATACTGCTCCTCCCCGCCTTTGTTCTGTAACCTTGTAGATGAGTTGGTAGATGACTTCCATTTTAAAATTTCAGATATAATTGATTCCATTTCTCACATTAAAGTGAAGATCATGGGTTTGTGTTGATTTTAGCAGTTTATGAGAAGCTTTAGACTAAACGGGAGACTAGATCCCCATACTCCAAAAAATTTTCCACCTCTTTCATTGTCCTGGTACGTCAAGACATGGTTCTAAAAACAAAAAAGGTAATAAAATACGCAAAGTAACTTTACAAAATAAGTGTCACAAAATGCACTAGTATGAAATAAATAAATGACATTAAAATCAATAAATGAATCCTGAAATGAATAAAAAAAAGGTAAAAATTATATTTAAAAAATTGGTTTCATTTCATGGGATTATTGATAAATATGCATCTTCATCTTGATAAAGATGAAATGTTTATTAACATTTATTTTGAATGAAAAGGTTCTCCATAGCAAGGCATTGCTGTGCTCTTCTTTATGAGTGCTTTTCAAAAATAAAGTTGCACCCCTGGTTCAGGTTTGATTCACACATTAAGTTGCTTTCCAGCAGCTATTAAAGTTTAAGACTTCAAAGGAAGATACATATTTGTAGTACATTTAATTATTTCAAGTCTGTGCTGTCCACTTTTTGACTTTCTCCTTCCTCCTTCCTGTGTTTACAGCTTATCTATGAGAGTTTTGCCAGGTACCTGGTGGAGCATAAGGGATATGACAAGGACCTTTTGAATCTGACTCCTGCTACCTGGGATTTCTGGTGAGTGTCCTTTAGCAGGAGGTTTTTTAGCTTGCAGGGGAATCTGGCACACATGTATAGATGTATAGATAGGCCCAACGCGATAAACAATAAATCAATTAATCGCATGATAAATTAAAATTATGGACCTCATTTAATTTATCGGCTTTATCATCTCTACCTGCCTTTTTCTCTTTCTATTGATGACATTGAATGAAAAAAGGCTCAACTCCGATGCTCTCCACTGACCCACCCTTCCTCATTCCCTTAGTGTAATGCTCAGCTCACACTACACGTTTTTAGAATTGTCAGCTGATCGTCGGCACATTTTCAAAAACTAGCTGACAAAAAAATCGTAAGTATAACGGGTTCGATCGGATTTAATCGTGTCGTGTGTCCAGCCACAAGACAAGAGCAACACACCACACACAAACCGATTTCTCTCACCGACATTCAGATTTCAGACAGAAAATCCCGTAAAAATCCATTATATCAGATGTGAATTTAAAGTAAACGAATGCGGCTGAATGAATAGCCTTATCATTGCAACCTATTTATGTCACATTAACGATGAACAGCTGAAAAGTTCAACTGCGGTAGCAATTTTGTTCCAACTCCTCTCGTCATTTCTGTGGATATTCCTGTCACGAAATGTTGAATAAACATATCATCTTCGATGTCCGCTGGACTTTGGGTTGGGCCGTGTCAACTGTTTGGGATTCCCCTCCATGCTTTCTGAGTGGAAAGCATGGAGGGGAATCCATGCTTTCTGATTGGCTACTTGTCACATTCAACAGGCTGCGTTCTCGCTTCCAGTCGAGGAAAACCCCACATGCTGCAGTTATAAACTGACCAAGACAATCCAACATGTTGAATATGCCTGGTTTAGATCGTAGCGCTCCCGACGTTCTACCGACTGATCCAGTAGTAACACACCACATACTACGGGATGATCGGTTACGATCGTTGGACGTTCCAAGATTGTCGTAAGAGAGAAAATCGGAGCAAAAAAATCATGTAGTGTGAACTGGGCTTCAGGGAGGAGTGAACTATTGGATCAGACAGTGGGATATCATATGCTCATCTTCTCTATCTAAATCTAATGATTATTGAAAGGCAATATAGTGTACAGACTTCATAATCTGCACTCTTTTGGTTGAATGTAGTTTTTATTTCCTCTTTGGTTTTATGTTGTATTTATTTTATTTTTGTTTATGATTGTTTTGTTTACCAGTTCTAGTGTTTAGTGTTCTTTTGAAAATAAAGTGGTTTTTTTTTTTGTTTTGTTTTGCAGGATATCGCTTGCATTACTATGTCATTACCATTATATCAGTTTTAAATGGTCTTCAAACAATATTTTTGTTTATCGCAATAATTTTTGAGACAGTTAATCGTCCAGAAAAATTTGTTATTGTGACAGGCCTACGTATAGAAAACCAAATGGATTCCAAGATTACAGGTACATTTCAGTTCATAGATTCACCACACAGGGTGGTATAGCCCAAGGATTCCTTTCAGTTAGATTTAGGAATGCACAATATTTAAACACTAACATTGATATCAGCCAATA